CAGACAGATCCCAAGCATGAGAAAAGAGATTTGAACTCAGGTCTTACGACTCCAAATTTTGTTGTCTTTCTACTGTGCCACTATGAGGTAGTGTTTTTTTCCCTACTTCCTCCCAGTTGTCAGTAAAGTCCTTTCAATTGTACTGAAGAAGATAAAGATCTTCTACAACCTAGCTAACATCCTGACAATAATTATGCTAACAATAACAATGCTGATAAGCTTCTGGTGTTTATGTGTAGGGAGCTGGATATACATTTAGTCATACAAAAAGTACCAACTGGTTGCTAGGCTCAAGCTTTCAGGAACAAGTAGAATGTTTTGCACATTTTTATAAATTAAGAGAAACCAATGATCAGACTGAGAAATAGAGAAGAGAAAAACTATCAATGAAAGGGTAGGGTGCTTGTCCTTAAGAGTAGAAGTTATAGTTTTATTTTATTTTAATTTATTATTATTATTATTATTGCTTTTTGGTGAGGTAATCGGGGTTCAGTGACTTGCCCAGGGTCACACAGCTAGTAAGTTTCAAGTGTCTGAGGCTGGATTTGAACTCAGGTCCTCCTGACTCCAAGGCTGGAGCTCTATCTACTGTGCCACCTAGCTACCCCTTAAAGTTATTGTTTTAGATACAAGAATGTGAATTGCATTCATTGCTCACAGTAAATGGAGAAGGATCTTCCGTCATATTCTCTTGGGTGTTCGGACAATGTCTATTTCTGAGGCATCTGAATGCTCCCATAATCTCATAATAATTTTAATTGACCGTGAAGGAGGAAGGAATAAGCTTCTCACTCTGCGTATACACGGCACGTTCCTAAACCACAGCGTGGGTGGGTATTGGGCTAGTTTTTGTCCCAGGCACATCAGTCACTAAGGGACATCCAGGGGAACTTGCACATGCAGCATATTCTGCCAGGGGTGGAGGATGTGAAGTTGTCAAATCTCTTGTTTTTCAAATGTGGGTTATGATTTCCTTCCAAGACAAATTTAATCAAAAGGCACGGGGCTATGGCGTCTATTGGACTGAACTCTCGCTGCTGATGTATGAGAACTGTTAGCAGAGTGTAAACCCTGGGTGAAAGCAAAATATTTGTTAAGTGTCTAACAGGCTGAGAATGCTGAAAGCAGCCCTAGCCCTGGTTTTCATTAGTAACACACTTAGGAGGGCACAGACATTGAAATATCACTTCCAGTGTTGATTCTGAGAGCTTGAATCTACAATGTATCAATCACAGACAGAAATGAGTCATATTTAAGCCAGCCCTCTCTGTTTCACTGAACCATGGCAATGCAATTTTCTGAAAGAAATGGAAATGTTTACAGAACTGTTAAACACCTCCCGCCATTTACAAGTCTGGTGTATTATGCTCCTCACCAGCCCTAAAGGCCACTGAGATATCCCATCTTCTATCTAAGGAGGCAAATAGGCTTTGGGGCCAGATGGTCATGTAGGAAACTTAAGAGTGTGCTCTAACATTTATCCACCATTGTTGCTGATTTACAAGGTTTGGTCATATCTCATGCAAACCCCTATTAGATAGAAATGAACGGATTAAAAGCTAAACTGATTTTTCAACTACGAATCAGCCAAGCTACAGATGAATAGATGTAGACAAAATAATTGGGCAGTAACTATAAAACTTTGTGCCTGTGGGCTGTATGGGCCTTACAGTGCCCAAGTTATCATCCTCGTTTGGATCCGTGGCCCTAGGCTTTAGCTTCTCAGGGGAGGGAGACATAGCAGTGGCAAAAACCAAGGCTCCAGCATTCCTTCTCCACAGACATTATGAAGACTATTAAACGGGCTTGATTGTCTTAACATACACAAACATCACAAGTGGTATGTGAAACTGAAGGTGGTCAATGGAAAGATATCAGGAGGGTGATGTCTTCATTTGTAAATGAATTGAATTTAAGTGAAGCAGAGCTGTGCAAAGTCATCAGCCTCACTCTCTCCTCCAGTCATCAGAGTACAGTGGCAAGACATAGGTCAAGATGACTGGCCATAGTTCCCTCATCTGTAAAATGATGGGGGTTGGTTTAGACGGCTCTGAGATCTCTTCCAACTATAGAGCTATGATTGTATGCCTAGGAAGCAAAAATGCATTAAGGGAAGAAGTATCATAAAGTTCTAAGAGACCTCAGAGTCTCTTAGACTCTGACTGCATTAATCTAATGCAACCTTCTTATTTTACAGATGGGGAAACTGAGGACCAGAATCATAGCTTTAGAGCTGGAAGGAAACTTAGAGATTATTTAATCCAACCTCCTGATTTGACAGATGAGGAAACTGAGGCCTAGAGAGACTAAGTGATGTACCCTAGGTGAATAAAGGCTCTTGGCAAAGATACAAAAATGTACAAAAATCTTCATACCAGCTTTGCCACCATGAGAAACTGAGGGGATGCCCATCAACTGGGGACTGACTGAACAATTATGGTATGAGAATGAAATGGAATATGACTTTGGTATAAAAATGATGAAGGGGATGGCAGAGAACTGGAAACTAAGGGTAAGTCCCTCAACCAGGGAATGGATGAACAAGTTATGCCATATAAATCTAATGGAATACAAGTGTGTTGTTAGAAATTTTAAAGGGCATGGGTTCAGAGACAACTGAGAAGACATATATGAACTGATGCATAGTGAAGAGAGTAGAAAGAGGAGAATATGCAATAACAGTTTAAAAGCAAAGAACTTTGAAAGACTTAAGAAATTCTAATCAAAGCAATGACCAGTCACGATTCCAGAATGATGATGAAACATGCTACCCACTTCCTGAAAGGTAGGAGACTCAGGGTACAGATTGAAACATATATTTGTTGGACTTGGCGAAGATTGAAATTTATTTTGCTTGACTATGCATATTAGTTATAAGGATTTTTATCTTTCTGTCTTTTTTTCCTCCAGTGGGGAATAGGGCTGGGGAGGTGGGAGGGAGAAAAAATAGCTCTTGGAATGTTAAAAAAAATAAACAAGTAAGCTAAGGCTCTTGGACTGCTTTTAAAAGGCCACTGGGCCATGGCATGAGAGATAAAGTCCATTTTTGAGTACTTTCTCCACCTATCACAAGATCCTACTGAAATGTAGATTCAAAGCAGGTATGTTGATGGTAGAAAGTGCTATGAGTATAGGTAAGGAAGAATCAAGAAATGGTTCGTGAAGGAGGGAGCAAAGGAAATGGCTTTGAAAGATGGGTAGGCTTTCGATAGGTGGAGATATGAAGAGGGCATCCCACCCACAGTGTATTGCTGTGAAGGAATGTTGCGATGTCTCTATAAACTTGGTAGAAAGCATTTTCAGATCTCTATACACAATCTCTGTTATAACCTGTTATATTGCCCAAGCTCAAATTGACAGTTATTATTAGCTATGTTTCCCCCATCAAGTCCCCAACAGAAGCTTGCGGGTTATGATCAATCAACATTATCATAATTTAAAAAAAAAAAGGCCTTTGATTCAACTGGGAAAAAAAAAACAAAACCCAAAAACCCAAGATGTCGGAGTCCAAGCATACAATTCCACTGTCTTCAAGAGAATTCACCTCCAAACATGCTCTTTTCTCCCAAATTATCTAGATAATATGCGGCAAAATTAGTATTTTTGGACCAAACCATCTGTACTAATTCACTATCATTTCAAACTCTCCATCTATGTGCCACCCCTTTACTTATTCACTTATCCCTTGCTCTGTTATAGGTATCATTTTGAAACATCTAGTGGAAAAGTAGAAGAATGTACATGTATTCTCCAGGGGATTGAGAGCTGTTAGATCTGAGTTACATGCGCGGCACCCTGGTGTCATCAAGAGAAATGAGATATTTCTCCCTCTAGCCCCCTTTCTTAGCCACAAGCCTTTTCTTTTTTGAAAACAGCTTGCTTTTCTGAAGATAAAGATAAATTAAAAGGATCAGATTTTTGATATGCCAATGTAAAGCACAAGTCTACGAGAACATAAAATTGCCACAGTGGACCAGATTCATTCTTCTCTTTGATAGTAACATCAAAGGATTTATTTTTTGTTGGAATATACAGAGTTTGGAGCACCATTCTGCACACCAACTACATTCACGGATGTCCAAACCCTGAATTAATTTAAATTCATCCTGAACTAATGTTTTAATTAAATTCAACAAACATTAAGCACCAATTTTGTAAAAAGCACTGAGCTAGGCTCTGGGATCATAAGATCATAGCTTTAGGTCACTGAACCCTTCCATAATACAAGGGAGGAAAATGACGCCCACTGAGCTTAAGCAACTTCCCAGAGTTTTTCAAAGGTGTAGGGGAGGCAGAAGAGGTATTCTGCTCCCTAGAAACACTGGGAGTGGCATGCTTTCACGTGAGAATCTGCCTAGCTTGTTTTGAGGCTGTCTTTTTAGTTCTAGTTGGAGTTCCATATCTTTAAAGGCTATTAGTTGGAAGATGTTCATTTATATTAAAAAAAAAAATCCAAAGAGCTACTTGTATGGTTAAGCAGAGAGATAAGTCAGCTCCAGACTGTGGGTCCAAAAACTTAGATTCTAACCCTAGCTCTGCCAGTGACTGCCCTTGTAAGTCATGCCGCCTCAGGTTTTCAATTTTTTTCAATTGGGGTTAGGTGACTTGCCCAGGGGGTCACACAGCTAGTAAGTGTCAAGTGTTTGGTCTGAGGCCACATTTGAACTCAGGTCCTCCTGACTTCAGGGCCGGTGCTCTCTCCACTGTGCCACCTAACAGCCCCTGCCTCAGGTTTTCCATCTGCAAAATAGGCCAAATTTTCTTCTCAGGAGAATAGCTAACTTAGGATTGGCCATTCCCTCTAGATTCCCCCTATTAACACCTGGAAGAATCTGCCCACTTTATCCCAAACATCAACCAGTTTTCTTGGTTTTGGCCTCTGTTTCTGAGATGTGCCTGAAACCCAGCTGAGAGTAAAAAGAAGCCATGAGAAACCACGAGCATTGGCTCTTAATGCTACCTAGACAGGTGAGTCATTAGACACACAGAGGACCGGTTACCTTTTCATTCTTTTTCTCCTCTGTTTTGCCGGATGTGTTGGTCGGGCTGGAAGTCAACAAGCTACTGATGGGCCCACTGCCCATGTCTCCATTCAGGTTGGCTGCACTGACGTTGGGAGGCGTGATGGCCGAGGCTGCTGATGTCAGAGGGATGACAGGCCTGGGGCACTGTGCTCCAGAGACGACCTGAATCGGGGATTGGTGGAGGTGCTGTGGAGATACGATGGTGTGCGGCCTGATCCCTGTAGCTGGCATGCGGGATGGAGAGCTTTGGGTACGTAGAGGTGATACTGTCGCAGTGGGCCGGTCTTGAGACTGAGCAGGAGGGTGGGCAGCTGGATACAATTGGTGTTGGAGAAAACAGAAGAGATTAATAATTAGTTTGAGAATTTCAACTCATTGCAATAGTACTGTTTCTTTTTTAAAAATATCAACTAATGAGTGAAAAAGCATTTGTTAAGTGCTTAGTATATGCAAGGCACTATGATAAGTACTGGTGATATAAATAGAAAAAAAACAGCCAGTCCCTGCTTCCAAGAATGGAACTACCATGTCCTTTCTCTCTTCAAAGAACTCCATCACATATTACCTCCACTTTATCACATGGAGTGAGAAACCGAGGCACAAGAATACTGTGGCTCATCCCATAAAACATTTCTTTAGTAGCATCTGCCTAACTAATGAGATGTATATTCAAAGTCAAAGCATTTCTGAGGATCACGGACCTTTGGTCTGGGCCCCTGTATCTCACTGAGAATCAAGAACAGAAGCATGACGACCAAATCATTAACTTTCCAATTTTTGCATCCTTCACCCTGGGAACTCCCACTCTTTTGCCCAGTCATATCAATTAACCAAGAAGTGCTTATAGAGATTCAGGTGCTAAGTACTAGACAGGATACCAATTGTGTCAAATGGCATCCCTGCCCTCGGGAAGCTTATGATCTTTTTGGGTAACAAGGTTAATACACAAAACAGGAAACAGGAAACTGTACAATATAATTAAGTATTAAATATGGGAGTCAGATTAACACTGCTATAGAAGAGACTAAGAGGAACTGATTTTCCCTTCTCCATGAATAGATAGTAATCCCATTTCTGTTCATTGTACAAGGGGAGGAACACATTACTTATTTGTACTGCGCCCCACAAGTAGCAGATGCTTAATAAATATTTGTTAAATTGAATTGTGGAACTAATGGGAATTCGCAAACTTGACTGGGAGGCAATGTGGTATAATGGAAAGAACTCTGGGCTCAGAGTCAGAAGACCTGGGTTCATTTCCTGGCTTTGGCTTGAAATAGTTTGTGACCTAGGGCAAGTTGTACTAGATTAGGGTTCTTAACTTTTTGTAAGTCAGAGAACCTCTTTGGCAGTCTACTGAAGACTGTGGACCCCTTAGCAGAATGCTTTTAAATGCATAAAATAAAATCTGTAGGTTGGCAAAGCAGGTAAGTGGCACCACAGTATACAGAGTATTGGGCTTGGAATCAGGAAAACTCATCTTCGGGAGTTCAAGACCAGCCTCAGACTAGCTGTGTGACCCTGGGCAAGTCATTTAACCCTGTTTGTCTCAGTTTCCTCATCTGTAAAATGAGCTGGAGAAGGAAATGGCAAACCACTCCAGTGTCTTTGCCAAGAAAACTTCAAATGGGGTCACAAAAAGTTGGCTGCGACTGATATAACTGAACAACAGCAAGTTGACAAAGGAAACTGATTATTGAAATGCAGTTATCAACATACTGAGAAAACAAGATCAAAGGCCTCAGGTTAAGAATCCCTGGATTAAACAGATGACCACTTAGGTCCCTTTGAGCTCTATCATTCTATGATTCCTCTAGCTTTTCATCATTAGCTGAGTCCTTGGTGTCTTGCTGGCTGCATATGGAAAGTCATCTAGGCACCAAGAATGTAGTTTTTCAGCCTAGGGTCAAGGATGACTGCAGGCCACTCAGAAGGTGAGGGGGACCCCTTCTTCCACATTCCATGGATAAGGTAGTAAGTTAGGCAGGTAACAAGATTGAATTTTGGAAGGAGGGAAATAAAATATGTGAGCAAGAAACACTGTGGCGTTAAAGTAGTTGGAGAGGGTAGATTGTCAGGGAGTCAAGTGATGAGCTCAATATTGGAAGCAGAGAGACGATCAGCTAGATATATAACCAATCTCTTATATATATAACCAACTGCAGGAGAATGGCTAGCATAGCCAAATCTTTCACTTATATTAAGAAGCACTCATCAGGGACTAAGAAAAAAATTAAAATAGAACTACATTTGTCTCTTACAAGCCAAATTAATCAAATATCTTATTGGGTGGATATTATTTGAAGGTTAAGAAATAACAGTAGGAACTCAAAATAATTTTTCCCTCAATTGTGTAGAAAGAGACTTAAGCGCCCTTTGAAAGGCTTGGACATCAACAGCCTCTTTTGAAACTCTGGTCCCTGCAGTGAGGATGGGCCAACATAAAGCAAAAGACTTTGGAAAACACCACTGCTAAAGTGTTTAGACAAATAAAGGATGGTGAAGACTCTCAGCAAAGACATAAGATGATTCTACAGCACAATGATAGACATGATTTAAGATTGACTGTTATGAAGCACCACTAATAAGCACAGGAGTGGGTTTAGGATTAACCTAGGTAATATTTAACTGTTTCTCCTGTACCTCCTCATTTTGCTAGCTTCTACTTTACTATGCATCAGTTTATGTAAGTCTTTCCAGGTTTTCTTGCTTGTCATTTTTTATAAGAAATAGTATTGCACAATAGTATTGCATTACAGTCATATATCACAGCTTGTTTAGCCATTCCTCAAATGATGGGCATCCCTTTGATTTCCAGTTCTTTGCCACCACAAAAAGAACTGCTACAAATATTTTCGTACCTGTGGGTCCTTTTCCCATTTTTATGATCTCTTTGGGATACAGAACTAGAAGTAGCATTTCTCTGTCAAGGGTATGCGGTTTTATAGCCCTTTGGGCATAGTTCCAAACTGCTCTCTAGAATGGTTGGATCAATTCACAACTCCACTAACAGTACATTAGTGTCCTAGTTTTCCCATATGCCCTCCAACATCCAACATTTTCCTTTTTTGTCGTATTAGCCACTCTGTGAGGTATGAGCTGGTACCTCAGAGTTATTTTAATTTGCATTTCTCTGATCAATAGCGATTTAGAGGATTTTTTCTTATGACTATAGCTTTGATTTCTTTGTCTGAAAACTTCCCGTTCATATCCTTTGACCGTTTATCAATTGGGGAATGACTTGTATTTTCATAAATTTTCCTCAGTTCTCTATATATTTGAGAAATGAGGCCATTATCAGAGATACCTGTTGCAAATAAAAATCCTAAATTCTTCCCTTATCCATAAATCTGACAGATAAACTATTCTATGCTCTCTTAATTTGCTTATGGTGTCAACCTTTATGTGTAAATCATGTACCATTTTCACCTTATCTTGGTATATGGTGTGAGATGTTAATCCATACCTAGTTTCTGCCATAGTGTTTTCCAGTTTTCCTAGCAGTTTTTGTCAAATAGTAAGTTCTTGTTCCAAAAGCCTGAATCTTTGGGTTTATTATATCCTTGATTACTACAGTCATTTACTACAATGTAATTTGTACCTAATCTATTGCACTGATTCACCACTCTATTTCTTAGCCAGTACCAGATTGTTTGGATAATTATCACTTTATGATATGGTTTGAGATCTGGTACAGCTAGACTACCTTCTTTCATATTTTTTTTTAATTGATTCCCTTGATATCCTTGAGCTTTTGTTCTTCCAGATGAGGTTTGTTATTATTTTTCCAAGCTCTATAAGATAATTTTTAATTGCTTGATTAGTAATTAAATAGATAAATGAATAAATACAATTATAAATTTTATATTATATTAAATCATATCATATTATAAATTATAAATTCTATAAATCTGAATAAATAGATTAATTTAATCAGAATTATCATTTTTATTATATTGGCTCGGACTACCCCTGAGCAATTAATATTTTTCCAATTGTTTAGCTCTAACTTCATTTGTGTGAAAAGTGTTTTATAGTTGTGTTCATATTACTCCTGGGTTTGTCTTAGCAGGTAGGCTAAGCATTTTATACTGTATATAGTTATTTTAAAAGGAATTTCTCTTTCTATCTCTTGCTGCTGGACTTTGTTGGTAATACACAGAAATGCTAATTATTTATGTGGGTTTATTTGGTATCCTACAACTTTGCTGAAGTTGGTAATAATTTCAAGTAGGTTTTTAGTTAATTCTCTAGGGTTTTCTAAGTATAGCGTCATATCATCTGCAAAGAGCGATAGCTTTGTTTTCTCGTTGCCTATTCTAACTCCTTTAATTTCTTTTTCTTCTCTTATCACCACAGCTAACATTTCTAGCACAATATTAAATAATAGAGGTGATAATGAGCATCTTTGCTTCATCCCTGATTATATTGGGAAGGATTCTAGCTTATTCCTCATTATAGATAATGCTTACTGTTGGTTTTAGACAAATATTACTTATCATTTTAAGGTAAGCTCCATTTATTTCTATGCTCTCTAATGTTTTTAATAGGAATAGGTGCTGTATTTTGTCAAAGGCTTTTTTGCATCTGTTGAGATTATCATGTGATTTCTGTTGGTTTTGTTGCTGATATGGTCAATTATGGTGAGAGTTTTCCTAACATTGAACCAGTCCTGCATTCCTAGTATAAATCCCACCTGGTTACAGTGTATGGTCCTTGTGATATATTGCTGTAATCTCTGAGCTAGTATTTTATTTAAAATTTCTGTATCAATATTCATTGGGGAAAATTGGTCTATAATTTTCTTTCTCTGTTTTGGCTTGTTGGTGGATTGCCCCAGGCTTGGCACCTTGCTGCAGACCCCCTATTGTGAGACTGGCTGCTGCTGCTGCTGCTGCTGCTGCTGCTACTGCTACTCTTGTACCTAGCTCCCCTTCCACTCCAATGAGACCTTTTCTGCCATGTTGGTAAGCTGCTTCTCTACTCCTAGATCAATTCTGAGGCAGTTTTCTAGTTGTTTAGAGAGGCATTTGGAGGAGGGGGCTTTAGATGGTTCCTTCCTCACTCCTCCACCTTGGCACTGGAAATCCCCAAAGAATGAATTTGAAGAAACTGATAATAATAATTGACACTGATATAGCTGTTTTAAGATTTGTAAAGTGTTTTATATTTACCATCTAATTTGAATCTCTCAATAACCCTATGAGAGTAGGTATAAGTATTATTATTCCCGCTTAACAGATGAGAAACTGAGTTTAAAGAGATCAAATGACTTGGCTGTGTTTTCACAGCTAGATACCATTGGTGAAAG